TTTATTTATTTGATTCCTCAGTGTTTGCTAAACGTTCTGTAATTTATTAGTCGGTATATAATACAGCGTGTGGTGTGTGCCATGCGTCTTATTCGTTTTTGTTAATAAACGTTTTGTAAGCTAGTTTGTCATTGTATCTTACTGACTTTTTAATTAAGAATAACAACGAATCCATCGTTTGTTTTAGTCTTAAAAAATGAAAGGTGTGTAGATGTAAGCAAAACAGTGACAACAAGATCGCGAATTCGAAAGTGAAAGCACCCGAAGCCCAGCTTAACACAGCAAAAGAGAAACTCCCATTCACAAAAATCAAATCACAAATAATACTACTGATGATAAAGCACGGGTTGAATGTTAACAACTTTTAAATTCTGTCCCTCACATTAAGATATGGAATGGCTTCAGATGATATAGCAGGGCTCCAGACTGCGACCATTTTTTTCTGCCTGTGCAACTAAATTTTGTGTGAGGTCGCACTGGCGCGACCACCGCGTTGGTCAACTCATACGCGCTGCAATTTCTGTTGCATATGAGAAACATCAAACGGCAAACGAAACTGAAAGCATAACGAACACTTCTTAAACCAGAGAAGCTGAACATGCTGGTATTCTTGTGGGAAAAAAACATGCAAGCACCGTTAATTTTACTTTTCTTTTTGTTTTAATTTTTGAAAAACTTGTTATCTTTGCTGTTTATCTCACATTACGCTATGGAGGCTCTCTTTTATTTTTTTATTTATTTGATTCCTCAGTGTTTGCTAAACGTTCTGTAATTTATTAGTCGGTATATAATACAGCATGTGGTGTGTGCCAAATGAAAGGTGTGTAGATGTATGTAAGCAAAACAGTGACAACAAGATCGCGAATTCGAAAGTGAAAGCACCCGAAGCCCAGCTTAACACAGCAAAAGAGAAACTCCCATTCACAAAATTCAAATCACAAATAATACTACTGATATAATACTACTGATGATAAAAAACGGGTTGAATGTTAACCACTTTCGTTTCCATATAACTATAAAATATGATAAAAGTTAATCAGCATGCATTGAATAATCCCATGTTGTAGCGCAAAAAAAATAAAAGTAAATATTGCGACCAAATCATGTGCTCGTGCGACCAGCTGACAAAGTTAGTTGCAAAAGAGCCACCAGTGGGAAGAATGAGTCTGGAGCCCTGTATAGGCTATACAGTGCATGAAAAGCAAACTGGTGCTCTTCTGTTTCTTTTGGTGTATGACTCCCCCTTGTCCCGTATAAAAAGCACAATAATCGCGGTTGTCTGAAACAACCGCGGTTAGATCAAATAATCGCGGTTAGACGGTTATTTAATTATCGCGACAGGCCTAGTTATGATTACTCATGAGATGATACAACATAATATAAGGTTTTTTATAGTACATTATGCATTCATTATAATTCCTTAAGAATACTCTTATAATGTATTATAAATACGGGCTTCATAGAAAGTGTTACCAAAATAATTTCTTTCTAAAGCTACTTTTGGTAATATCGGTTTCATGCTTTTCTTGTCAAATTTGATGTGAGATTAATATGCCATTAACTAGATTAAGCCCTAACGTATGACAGTTCATAAAATAGAGTTCATGTAATTTGGTTCAGGATCTTGAGAAATGATATAATAATGTCAGAACTGCTCATTTTTGCAGTCCCCTGTGGTGAAAAGATACCACACTGTGACTGTGTATCCACCAAGTTACAGGGCCATCTGTTGTCCATGTGTGTTCACATAGCATATATAATTTCATGTTTAGTAATGCATATGTAATAAATTAATATCCAATAATACACACATAAGGCTCAAAATAAAAAAAACAAACAAACCATCATTTCATGCTACACAACAAAAATGTTTTGAATTCCATATAAATATAGTGAAACACTGAAATTGAATAAATTAACCGAAGGATTTTTTTTTTCCTCAAATGGTCGGTTTACAAGACAGCTCAGCTGACAGAGTATGCACTTACTTATAAAAAGTGCAAGACAGAACTTGTTTGTACCTCTACTTCCTGTTTGAGGTCTTTCAGTTACATTTTTTCAGCAGAGCACATCAGGGTGTGTTGTGGTTTGGCACAGTATATGCTGGAAATGTAGGGTGTGTTGTGTTCTCACATGCTTAAACACTCTTATTTATGTGATGCTTTCTACAGATGGCCGTCCTCTGTATATCCTACGCCTCGGACATATGGACACTAAAGGACTGGTTCGAGCACTTGGAGAAGAATCCCTGCTCAGACATGTAAGAGATTCAATAATCTACATTTTCCATCATGCTCTCTGGTGTATTCAATTCATATGAATTCAAATGACTAGTGCAGAGTCTAACAGCATATATGAATTTTAAGGTGCTGTCAATCAATGAAGAGGGTCTGAGACGCTGTGAGGAGAACACCAAAGTATTTGTTCGGCCAATTAGGTACTGACAGGACTGACAGATTCTTCTTTGGCAACCAGAGGCCCCCTAAAAATGTGTTTGTATTCACATTTTCTCATCCTGTAGTTGTTGGACATGTCTTGTCGATCTTGAGGGGCTCAATATGAGGCATCTGTGGCGTCCTGGAGTCAAAGCTCTGCTGAGGATTATTGAGGTGGTGGAGGCCAATTACCCAGAGACACTGGGCCGTCTACTCATCCTCAGAGCTCCCAGAGTCTTTCCTGTCCTGTGGACGCTGGTTAGAGACACCGCTTTTTGCTTTTAAATTGTTCTTCTCTGCTAAAATCTAGAGATGGGAATGGCATTTTAACATGACATGCCATATTTATTTGTTCAAGTTATTAACCCTCTTATATTCGCTGTCCTTTATAAAAATAATTGCATAAAGTTATACGTCTCATTTACGAAGTAAATGAGTCACCCAGTTTAAACTCTTAGTAGCCTGATTTAACTCAAAGGAAGCATATTATGTATGTATCAACTTTGCTTTTCTTCTCTTATCTCTTCACAGGTCAGCCCTTTCATTGATGAGAATACACGAAAGAAGTTTCTGATCTATGCAGGAAATGACTACCAGGGCCCTGGCGGTCTTGTGGACTACATTGATAAAGAGATCATCCCTGACTTCCTTGGAGGAGAGTGTATGGTGTGTAATTTTATTTTCACTATGTTTTGCGACTGAATGGTGTCTATTCACTTGCGTAATATAGAAAAACTTGCTCCAAGTAAGATCTGTATGCATGTATTCAAACCTGGGTATTATGTGTCTCACCTTAGTATTGGTTTTAGTGGCTTATTGCACTGAAGTTATGGCACTTTGAAATATGTGCAGTGTGAAGTGCCAGAGGGTGGCTTGGTTCCCAAGTCTCTGTACAGAACTGCAGAAGAACTGGAGAATGATGAGATCAGGCTGTGGACGGAGACTATTTACCAGAGTGCCAGCATCTTCAAAGGAGCGCCACATGAGGTCAGACTTATGCATTAGAAACAAAACTATATATACAGGATAAGTTTGGTTTTGTTTGGTGCATTTGCAAAGTGTGAACACACAATTTATGATTTATTTGTTTACAAAAACCTGATTTCAATCAGGAAAAAAAAAAGTTTTTTTTTTTTTAATAGCAGAATACCACCTGGACAGCAATGAAACTACAGTTTTAGTTAAAGAACAATTTCCTTTTTTATATCTCCCCTTCAGCTACTGATTGAGATCATTGATGCCTCCTCAGTCATCACTTGGGACTTTGATGTATGTAAAGGTGATGTGATCTTCAATATCTACCACTCTAAACGAGCTCCACAGCCACCAAGGAAAGATCCGCTGGCTACCCATGGCATCACCTCTCCCGCAGGCAACAACGTGCAGCTTATAGATAAATCCTGGCTGCTGGGACAGGACTACAGCATGGTGGAGTCACCCCTCACCTGCAAAGAGGGAGAAAGTGTGCAGGTATGTCAGTTACAACCAGCATCCAGTTTTATGCTGATAAAGATGCCATAGTAAAAGTTTATAGTGGTCATACCATACTTTGCTTCTGTACCTTTAAGACCGTGTAAATGCCCTCTTTGCATGTGTGAGAGAGAGTTAAGGGTTGTCTTGATAATTGCATTTCATCTTCTTTTTTTTTTCCTTCCCTTGTTTTAACCACTCTGCCAACATATGTATACACCCTTTAGGGTTCACATGTGACACGGTGGCCAGGTTTCTATATTTTGCAATGGAAGTTCCACTCTATGCCAGCATGCGCCACCACAAACCTACCTCGGGTGGATGACGTTCTGGCTACTCTGCAGGTGTCCTCTCACAAGTGCAAAGTCATGTACTACACTGAGGTTCTGGGCTCAGAGGACTTTAGGTAAACATTCTGAACAGTGCTGAATTGTGTGATATCTGTTGTTATCATTTTATCACTGCCTAGTAATTTTCATTTTAAATTTTATTTTAATCAAAATAACTTGAATGTGTGTTTTTTTATGGTCATAATTCCAGCTTCTTTATTTAAACTGACTAGTACATTTCTGTTTTGGTTGTGTCTATGTTTTACCAGTATTGCCTTATTAAGCTAAATAGTTATGAGCAGTGTCCAAGCCTGCTGCTTTTTTCTCTTTCTCTCCCTTCTGCATACGACCACCATCCTTTCTGTTTCTCCTTGTAAAGAACGGCTTGCTGCGATGTGCAGAGTTTGTAAGTGAACTTGTTTGCTGTTAGCTTAACGACTGTGCTGTGCCAATGGATTGTGATTGTTAGCATTATCATCATGCTAACAAAGCTCTGTTAATTCTGTCTGCTCAAACATGCTTGGCTTGAGTTTCACCCTCTAACTCTGCATTCACTGTGTGCAGGCTGATGTAATACAGCTGATGATACGCCTAGATGAATATGACATAAGCTTTTGAAAACCCATTTCCTATTAAGAACCTTCTTCCAAAATTACTTCGAATAGTAATTTGTAAACTGATCATATACACTATGGACAAATGTATTGGGACACCTGACCATTACACGAGCAGGGGTTTATGAAATTGCATTCTAAATTAATATGGAGTTGATCCCCCTTTGCAGCTATAACAGCTTCCATGCTTCTGGGAAAGCCTTCCACAAGATTTTGGAGTGTGGAACTGTGGGAATTTTTGCCCATTCATCCAGTAGAGTTTTTGTGAGGTCAGGCACTGGTGTTGGATGAGAAGGCCTGGCTCGCAGTCTCTGTTCCAATTCATCCCTTAGGTGTTTGATGGGGACTTCAATGGAACTGTTTCCATCAATCTTTTTGAGTTATGACAACCCCTAATGAAATTGCTCAACCAACAAACTACATTGAGTTAGAAGAACTTCATAATTTGTAGCATAAACACAAACACAGTTTTTGTGCTAATATTAATGCCAAGCGAAGTTTGGAATGCTTCAGCCATGAAATCAGGCTTTTATGCACCATGCACCTCAGAAGTCTGTGGCCCTGCTCTGTGACTTCATGGGGTCTTCTTTATGGCTGAATGCCTCCACTTTCCAATAATAACACTTACAGTTGACCATGGAAGTTGTTGCAGGGATGAAATTTCATGAACTGACACAGTACCACACGTGAATTCACTGAGCTATTCAGAATGACCGATTTTTTTATTTATTTTTGTAAATGTAGACTGGATGGCTAGGTGCTTGATTTTATACACCTGTGGCAATGGGTCTGATTGAAACCTTTATTCAATGATTAAGAGGTGTGTTCCAAAACTTTTGGCCTTATAGGCTGTGTCTGAAAGCTTAGGCAGCTGACTTGATGCCTCACTGCCCTATCAGGCAATGACGTTGCAGGTAGCGTTTGTGCACGAAGGTACAGCACGAAACTGATTTTGGACATACTTCTGAGGCAGCTTAACCATTTAAATATCTAAAGCAAAATAGAGAGAGCTTTGGTGATAACCACGCGAATATTCAACTACTATAATTCAACTGTTACAGAATAGATCACACAGGTTTGTGGGATATCAAAGGCAGCGAAGGATAGGTCCACTTCTAATCTGCCTTCAAAAATCTATCAGATGAAGGTATTTCAGTAGACAGGATGTGACACGATCATTGGATTCGGACGTGCCTTGTTGCCTTCCTACCCTCCTGTGGAGACAGCATTTTTCAGCTTTTGGACACAGCCATACTATGTGTGTGTTAGGGCTGTCTAACACTGTGTGTGTGTGTGTGTGTGTGTGTGTGTGTGTGTGTGTGTGTGTGTGTGTGAGGGCTGAAAAACTAAATTCGAATTTTGTACTTAAATATGATAAAAATTCGAATTATATTCAAATTTAAAATGCATAATTTCAGTTAGGGTGAAGAAAAGCTTTTGGCTTCTCTCCTGAGGCCACAAGAGGGCGCATCAAGCGAAATATTACTAATGCACGTTCATTCAAAGCATAAGATAACATGACTGTCTGTGAAAAAAGTGCATAATGTTTAAAATAATGTTTATAAACCAATTATAATTAAGTTGCTTAAACAGCTATAAACAAAACAGCATCATGTATGTATGCATAGTTTAATACAAAGGGCCGAAAGCCAATCACACAGAGTACATTTTTCATTTAAAAACATGAGTTGCAATGGGATGGGGGGAAAAAAAACACCATAAATCTCGAGATGTTTTATTATTTTTTTTCCAAAGTTAAACTTGCATTAATTTTACATGGCTTTCTAAACATCTGGCTCTTTTGTGCAAGACACGAGTGTAACAGTGATAGATGTCCTTCTAGAAAATGCGCGAAATATGCACTCTGTGTGAATAGCTTGGTTTCAGTTGTGATGTAAACAAGATCTTCTCCGCATAGATGTTCTCTTTTTCCGCAATATTTTTAATGAACAACGCAGCAGCGCCGCATCTAGTGGCTTCAACTGGACAGGATAACAAATACATTATAATGCAACGACGCTTACATCGTCATCGCATCTCGTGAGCCACTGATAAGGCTGCCTCAACGCACGCATAAAATTCGAATGCAACGTTTTTTCATTCGAATGTGGATTTTTATTTTAAATTCAATGAATATTCGAAATTCAAATGTTTTATTTTTTTGACAGCCCTAGTGTGTGTGTGTGTGTGTGTGTGTGTGTGTGTGTGTGTGTGTGTGTGCGTATGTATCTTTTGTGCAACTCCAGTATGTTCTTGGCTGTGTTCAGTATTTATCGCATTGTCCATTATCAGGGTAAAATTTATAAAATGTTTTAAAACCGGTTTTATAAAGGTTTTGTAAAATGCCTGTTCACACCAAGTCTGACCTTTTGTCATTTATAACCTTCGTTACTGAGTGTAGGTTGATTTTACATGGAACTTTTACATGGCACTGTATGATGAAAAACGGTGGCAACAAACAGTCAAGGAAAAGATGATATGGCAAGGAATTTTAATATACTTGCCTTATATCATGTCTGTTGCATATGTGTTAATATTAGTATTAACCATTTATGTATAATAGTAGTATTTGACCACTTATTACCAAAACACCTTGGTATTCCTATATCACAGTGCTTTTTTGTTACACTATTTTTACTATTTCCATAGTTCTGTTCCAGAAGAGTGACAACATTTCTATTTAAGGGGTGGGTTGTATTTTGCATTAAAGCATGTGAATGACTGGAGTGCATTTTGATTCAGGCATGCACATTTTTATTTATTTATTTCAGAAAATTGTGAAGATTTACATTGTACTCGGTCTAAATGGTTTGTTTGCAAACTTTTGTGTCATTTATTTACTGCATCAGACTTGGTGTGAAAGAGCTTTAACATGGCATTTATGTGAGCTTTATCTAGGCAGTTTGAATAATGTGTTCTGGAGCCATGAAGAACAGGAACATTGAATATTAATCAAATGCTCTGGCTAGATGCTTGTCAGATATTTTTGCAGATGAAAGGCTACCTTAATTGATTGGGTAAGCAGGGTACAATATTTACTTTTTGTCCACCAGCCAACAAATGCCCAAGATAATCAAATGTGTTTCAAGTGTGCGTTTTTTGTGTAAGCTACGGCATTTAATGTAAAAAAAATTGAGAAGTCTTATGGCTGGTAAATGAGCAGAAAAAAAATCATACTCTGCCTGTAAGGTTTATATCATTTTTTGTGCGTATTCTAAACTCACGTAGGCTTTGATAACTTGAATATTTGTACTAATTACCTTTTTATGCTGAGAGAAATTTTTATTTGCAGCACATTTAACTTTTATGTCAAATATGAGAAAAGGCAAATACTTCTCTTATTTGGCTTAGTTTGGCTTTTTTCTAACTGCATGTCCTGCTTAAGCTCTGGTTGTTTAACTGTATATGAACACAGATAAAACCAATATGCTTGAGGGGTTGTAGCTTAAAGGTTTTTATTAAATTATTGTATCTAGCCATTTTCCTTAGACCTTTTTTTCTTACAGAATTTTATTTTTAGTCTTTAGGCTTATTAATTTCTCACATGCTATTCTATTCTGTTCTAATCTCAGGGGCTCAATGACCAGTTTGGAATCCAGTCACAGTGGTTTCTCTCAGCTCAGCGCCGCCACCACATCCTCCAGCCAGTCACAGTCCAGCTCTATGATCTCCAGGTAGAATGGAAAGGAATTTAGGCTCTAAAATGTTTTATTAGTTTAGTTTCTTGATTCTCAATAAACCCCATTACTACTCTTACTCTGTTATCTATCCCAACACTGTATCACTCCATGTCAAGGACCTGAAGCATGCTCGCACAACTAAAAAGAGTATAAAAATATCCTTACCTGAAAGGATTCTGGTGGTGGTAGGTTGTTGTTTTTTTTGAAGGGCTTGAAGCTGCTTTTCCATAGTGCTCAGCTGGGCTGCAGGTCAGTTCATAGGCCGATTGTGCTTTGTGTGAGTGTCCAAAGGAGCTCACACTTTAATGTGCATTTCTACATTTCCCATGAGCTGCATGCTGAACTAAGCAATACATGTTCTTCAAATTGGGAAAGGGCCTGAAATTAACACGCCCACTTACACATCTCAAATACTCCACATACTTACTTATATGCACTTAGTTCTGCCATATCACTTGGAGCTCGTCCTCTTGGTAAACTGTTGTTAGGTCATTGGGTGGGCTTCTGCAATAATTTAGAAGAATTTATACTATTTGAATTTGTATTTATCATAAAATGTTTAAGGAGACTAGGTTAAGTCTTCTTGGGTGCTACAAGCTTGTTTCTTAATTGTTAAGGCCTTTCCACACTGAGCGCGAAAAAGCTAAACGAATATCGGACACGCTGGAATAAAACAATAGATTTCTATGGATGCTTCCACATAGACCGCGAACATTCACGCACCGAAAATGTGAATAATTTTTTTTTTCGAACCAGTCCGATGAATCTTTTCAGTTTCGCAAAGCGAAAACACGGGCCGTCCAATAAGATTTGAGCTAGGATCACGTGACTGGAGCAGCTGCTGTTGCACAAAAGGGTGAATGGTGGCGCTGTTTCGAAAACCAGTGTAAACAAAGAAGAGGAGTATCCCGGATAAGAGAAGTACGGTGGCCGTGAAGTGCAAAACAAATCACAATTCTGAAAACAAAATAAATTACAAACGCAAATGCAAGTCTAAAAAACTAAATAACAATTCAGAAAGCACAACAACAATTCAGAAAACATTATAACAAGTCAGAAAACACAATGACAAATTCGAAAACAAAATAACAAGTCAGAAAACACAACAACAAATCCAAAAACAAAATAAGTCAGAAAACACAACGACAAATCAGACTCCACTGAATTATGTGATCTGTAGAGCACTGTCCGTTTTCTTCCACGTGCCGCGAGTGTTATGAATCGGAGCACGTTCACTCTTTTTCTACACATGAAATATGTACGTTAAGCAAATAGACATGATTATGACGATCTGTTTTCTGTTTGTGTTTTGTTTGCAGCTCATGGCATTTTTATAGCAATAAAGGATGTTTATGACAAATATTAGCAGTGTAGCGTTATTAAACATACAAAGAGTGCATGTGTCTGCTTATTAATCAAAATCAACTATAGATCACAACTGGAAGTTATTACAAGCACTCGATGATGGTTTAAAGTGGGTAAGCAAATACATTAATAATTACATACATTTTCAAGTGTAGCTTGATGCTAATTGTACTTCTAATTATATTTTAGTATGTAGCCTATTCTTGTAAGCATTATAGATTGTTTGTTCTGGTGTAGAACCTTGTTTATCTTAATTTAATGCTGTATATTGAGCAGCGGATGATGTTAAATCTATTTACTGAGGAAAAATGCATTGTTGGTCGGCGCCACCTAGCGTGCAGGCGTGAATTAGCAGAAGGCGAACAATCATTTCGCGTTCGGTCTAAAAAGCACCGTTCGTCGGCGATTCGCCTCGCTTCTTCGCATCGCAGCTCAGTGTGGAAAGGCCTTTAGTGTGTGGCTAGACTTGCGGTTTGAAAATGGCAAAGTGTTTAGTGAAATAGTCACAGTACTGCTTTAGTGCTTACTACTAGTGTTAGCTTAAATTTTGGCTTTGTGGAAATGCCTTGATATCAAACCTCAGACTTGCTGCTGATCAGTTCCTATGCAGTCAGCCAATCAGTGCTTGGAATGGTCATTCATATTAATAGGTCAAAGCATTTTTTAATCACAGCTTTACTGGAAGAGAGGCTGTGTAAATTTTGTAGTGAATTTTATCATTGCACCAACAGAATAGGTGAATTTGTTTTTATATTTCTGTATTATAAAAAGGAAAGAAACATTTGTTTGACAGTTTCTATTAGCAAAAACTTGAAATGGAGTGAAGTTACACAATCCAGTGAAACATGCTCCTTAAAGACTCTTTGTTCAGGTTAGAATATCAATCACAATTTAAAACAAAATGCTCAATAATTGTCTGGATGAGAGCATGTCCATTAATCCAGGTGACTTTAACATATTTGACAACCTGCACAAGAAACTAGTGTCACCTGCTTAATGTCCTGTGAGAATGTCTGCATCTAGGAGAGGTTTACGTAAGGACATTGGATGTACTCACATTTAACTTGCACCAGTTGTTTGAATGATGCTGGAGCCAGTAGTCTGAAGAATACTCCCTCTCCTTCATTTCTCTGCGTTATTAGTCCTGATCTCATGGACAGGACACTTTAGGGAAGAGGAGATTGTTACACTTAACAACTAGTTTTTACATGCCATTCCTAGAATGTTGATCGTAATATGATACATTTATAGTGTACTAGTATTCTGGAAGTGTAATAACAGTAAACAAAAGTAGAGGAGGAACAAGTAATATTTTGTTTGATGGTTAAAAAAATATATATTTTGTCATGAAGGCTTTTTAGGATTATTTTACAACTGTTAAGTTTATGGGTGGATGTTTTTTAGCATGCCATATGGTCGTACATACAATACAACTTTAAATGCTATTTGGGTTTCTATGGAAATCCTATATCAAACTACTATCCCTTAAAACTTCTAAACACCTGTGAAGCACATACTCTGAACCATGTGTACTTTGAAATCCTGTCATTTGACTACAAACTGCCAGTCAGGTAGGAGTTTCAGAGCTTACGGTTCTAGAATTTAACATTGTTTAACCATGCACAGGTTAGTAGACTTGTTTTATGCTTAGAGTCCAGGAAAAAGTGAGAGATTCTATTTACAGTACAATTTTTAAAATCTTTAACAAATTGCTGTTTTAATCATGCAAAAATCGACATAAGACCAGTGTGTCAGGTGTAACTCTGTAATACTTTACTGTGAAGAGAATTTTATGTGATTTTTATGAATGTTTGTTGTTTTTTTCCCCCTCCTTCACTTATCAGTTTCAGCCATCTAATGCGGTATGTCTGTGCTAACAGATGCAAGCATCTATACAGTAAATGTATAAGGGCCACTGATGTGTCCAAAAACACACACACCCACTCTCTCTCTGACAACTCTCTCTCTGCGCACACACAGACACACACACACACACACACTTGTAGTCTTCCTTATACACCTGCCTTTAACTGAACCAGTGTGTTTGAGAAGTAAATCTAGGGGCTTTCACACCCACCTAGCATTCCACAAACAAACACCAATATTATCATTGTGTAAATTGAGTTTATAAATGATTTGAAAAAGAATGAACCAGCTGAACAAAATTAATGTGTGTTTGCGTTTGGATCTTTTAGATTTACATGATCATAGAATCTCAACTTTTCAATGTAATGATAATGCTCATCATAAAAAAACACCAACCTGGATTATGTCTGAATATCCCACGTGTTTATGTGGTCTCATCTGTATATGAGGGCTATTAACTGTTTGTCTATTGTTTTCTCCCTCTACTTTTATTCTCCTTTTTTTTCTGAGATGTTACATATCGTTTTTTCCCTCTGACAAACTCTGTATGTGAAAAAAATATTGAATTAATATACAATTTTAGCGCCTTTACATTTTCAAAGTTATTAAATTTGAATTAAATATATGCTTATGCTGTGTTCCTCCTTTGTGTGTGTGTGTGATAACTAATAAAACTGTAAAGAGTGACAAACACAGATATTGCTTTGTTTCATGTATAGTATTGAGTATGTGTGTGCGAGACATAATGTATGTCTACTTAGGAGATCACAATTCATACAGATGTTAACTAAATAAAGTACCGAATGACTGTTCTCTTCTGTTCAAACAAGGAAATCAAAGTCTTAATGATCCAAATGAGTTCAATAAACAAAATTAATTACAGGAATATACAAAAATCACTTTACTATACACCAATTAACCTCATTTGATTAGAAAAGTTTTAGAAACTCTCCAAACATATCTTTGCAAGTTGGTGGGACTCAGGGTTACCAAGACCTCGCCACCTGCAACAAACTTTAATTTTCTAAAGCATTTTTGGCGAAGACTTCTACCAGCTGCTGCAAAGGGTCTGTATGAAGTCATTTGGCCTCAAGTTCACTCAAGTTTGCTTTAAAATCAAAATGTTGGCTTTAAAATCAAACTTTACACTTAAACAGTTAGACAAAATTGGATTTAAAATCAAACTTTACTCTTAGACAGTTAGACAAAAATGTAAAATTCCTGTCATATCCTGTCTCGGAGAGTGGTGGAACTATGACATCACTTTGTAGGCAAAAATCCGGAAGCGAGTTAGCATTTTAGCACTTCCGAGTTTGATTAAATACCCTAAAATAAGGTCCGTGGTTAACACAAGCTCAACATACTTTCATGTTTTATTCTAGGGCATAAAACATACCAGTTACACCCCACTCATGATTTTAAACTGTTAAGTTTATTTAAAAAGACGGTTGCTAACAAGTTGATAAATGGGACTACAAATGTTGTACATTTAAAGGGGTCATATGATGCGATTTCAATTTTTCCTTTCTCTTTGGAGTGTTACAAGCTCTTGGTGCATAAAGAAGATCTGTAAAGTTGCAAAGACTCGCTTTTTCAGACCGATGAGCTTTGTAAAAATCGACGCGTTTCAGAAAGGCGGGGCATAGAGGAGAACGTACAGTATGTGGAAAATAATGTTTTTTTTAACCTTAAACCGCATAAACACATTTCATTACACCAAATACACAAAATACTGTTATTTTTAGCAGCATTGTATGACCCCTTTAAACGTCATCTCGCCGAACAGTTGATCAATTTATAGTATTTTCCAATTGTAGTATTAGTACAAATAATTGTAGAATAACCAATGAATGGTTTCCCGCATTTTATATTGTTCGACAATGTTTTTAACTTTGCCCCGAGATGCAACCACGGACTTCGGACTCGTTTTATCGCTACTGATGCGGAGACTGTTCGTACCATAAGGTAAACACATATTACAATTATTCCATGTAAATACCACATTTACTGGCTTTACCTAGTCACGGTGAAAGTGAAACTTTAGTTATGCACAGCTTAGAAAGCAGAAACATTGAGGATTTTCTAGAAACAAGGATAAAATTAAAATTTTGTGTAACCACCCAAACGAAATGATAGCTGAAATGTGGTACTTTATTAACTAAAATACATGTCATCTTACCATACACTGTTAAAAAAAAATTCTTTTACAGGTAATTTTCTGTATTTTTTTTTTTTTTTTTTTTTACAGAAATTTACCTTTTTTTCATTATACGATGACCTGTTGTTTTACAGATATTTTTTTGTATTTTAAAGTTCCACCATTACATTTACAGATAATATCTTGTATTTCGGTATTACATAAATGTTCTGTCTTTTAAAAGGAAATTTTCTGTATTTTCACAGAGTAATGTGTAATTTTACATAAAATGTTAATATTTACAGATTATTCCTGTAAAAATAGGGAAAAAAAATTTTTTGAAGCACAAATCATTGTCAGTGTTTTTTTTAGCCTATTGAAGATCGTTAATCATGTGAGGGTTAAAGTGAGGTTTTAAGGTCAGATAATAGTATTTGTACATACAGTACATGTACTGTAAATGATGCATTGTTTATTTTACTACTCTTTTAACCTTGTCTTGCAAATAAATGCTAATTTTAATAATTATTCGGTACAACCATATAGGGGTACAACTCATTTAGGATATTTCCCACTTCAACCCGGAAATAATTGATGGAACGTCATGCTACTAATCATTAGTAACTACAATAATGCTACCAAGTAGACTTTACTAAATCCAGACGTTACTTCCTGGTTTGTGGTGGGAAATATTCCACATCTGAGTTGTCTGGAACAAAGCATTATTATTATTATTATTATTTTTTATTTTTTTTTTAACGCAGCATTAGTGTAGTGTGTGTGCGTGCGTGCGTGTGTGTGCGCGCGCGCGCATGATGACGCAGATTCAAATTTGCCGCCAATTTAGCTCAGCCCAGGATGGTTGGCTGAGCTGTTTCTGTACCGACGCGACAGCGATGGAAAGGCCCGCGAATTATTTGAATTTATTTCAGGCTATCCATTCAGAAATGTGTGAGATAATAACGCTCTTTCTTCAGTGAGCATGTTTCGCCAACTACAACACATTTTGACTATACTACAGCAGCCATCATGCCAACCGACTGAGGTAAGTCTTTCATACTACATATTTTATATAGTGTGGCTGCACATTTGTGTTAAGTGTAGGCCTACTTTCGAAGCTAAGATTAGCATTTCTAACTGGTGTTCAGTCACATAACTGGCGTAGATAGCTGAAGGGCAAAACACTGAAAACTGCAGCATGTTTGTAAGAAAGATCAGTTGACCTCAAAAGACTCAAAACAAGCTTTTAGTAAACTTATTCATATCAAAGTTCGTTCGAGTGTAACATTATATAAAGTATTTGCTCATCTGGAAGTACCCGCCAGTTTTTCACAAGGCGGGTCATTTTGAAACGCTGAACGTTGCTAACTGTATCAAAACAGTGTTGAGAGTGAATTCAGTAGGCTGCAAGTTACACCTTATATTGATTATGAATATAAATGCAACATGGTAAATCGCAAGGTAGACGCTTTTTCCCCTTTTATATTCTCCTGTACATGTGTAGTCAGGGTCGGCGCCAGGGCATACGGAACGAGGGGGCCTCGATGTGTCACTGGGTGGGTCTACCGCTAGCACCTCACTAAAATAATAATAATAATACTTTACTAAACCTATTTTTATGAAAAGATTAAGCGCTACTGCTACACACTATAAAATAGTCGCACCATCATACCCTACGCTAACGAGCACATACAACACTTTGATAAATAATAACCGGGCACCAGCACTAACCACATATTCACATATTAGTGACACAGATACAAAAAGCAAAAAGACATCTTGCCTTTAGAAAAGCTGCAGGCGACGAGTGGAAGTGTTAAACTTTCTCATAAGGAGGTCTTTCCATTCGTTCCGTAATTTCTTTGTAAGGTCCCGTTCAAATGCAAGATGCACAAGCTGAGCCTTGCGAGTGTGGTTCATTGCTCGTCTGTTGTCCGTAAAAACTTTCTTTAGGACTGAAAAGGAGTTCTCACACATAGCGGTTGAGGCCCTGAATGTGACAGCGAGTTTAAGAGCGGACAAAACACTGGGCATAGCTTCAGAGTGGAGGTTCAATCTTCAACTGGCTGGCAGGAGCCGCCACTGACAGGTCATGTGACCTGCCAATGGCTGGTGGCAGCTGCCAGTCTGATTCTGGCAGGTCATGCGACCTGCCAGTGGCGGGCTGGTGGCTGGCAGTCTCAGCCGCTGTAGATCTGCGAGTATAACGCTTTCCCTATCACTCTCGCTGCAAGAAAATACACTATTTTATTGTTATGAATATATTCTTATGACTTTGTATGATGTAATATATTCTTATTCTTTTGTATGATTGACGGTTTAGTTTTTTTCCCCCCATTTAAAGCAGTCAAATACTGTAATCACGACTGATTGCTTACTGACGCTTCTCTGGACGCTCAACCAGCCAGCCACGGTTAAACTGCGAGTATAACGCGTTCCCTATCACTCTTGCTGCAAGGAAATACATTATTTTATTATTATGAATATATTCTTATGACTCTATGCTTTTGTATGATTAACGTTTTAGGTGGGTTTATCCCAATTAAAGCAGTCAAATGAACATGATCACGACTGGTTGCTTACTGACGCTTCTCTCGACTCTCAACCAGCCAGCCGCTGCTGAGCTGCGAGTATAACGCGTTCACTATCACTGTCGCTGCAAGGAAATAAATTTTTTTATTATTATGACTATATTCTTATTAGGGATGCACCGATATGAAAATTTTGGCCGATACCGATAACCGATAATTCTTTATTTTTGAAAGCCGATAACCGATATGTTGGCCGATAAATCTATATCCAAATTTTTATATACTTTTTAGAGCCTGATTACAAAAAAGGTCTCATCATTAAAAGCCACATCCCAAACACTTCAACATAAGCAGCCTAGTTTGAACGGTGTACGTTTTAAAAATAATCCGATAACAGAAAAAATGAGCATTTATCGGCCGATACCGATATGGTGGCCGATATATCGTGCATCCCTAATTCTTATGGCTCTATTCTTTTGTATGATTGACGTTTTAGTTTTTTTTCCCCAATAAAAGCAGTCAAATGAATGTGATCACGACTGGTTGCTTACTGAATTTTACATGTTCGATGTTTTATTTGTGATATGGAACCCGTTCATTTTGGAGCTGAAAGTGACTGGCTGCACTGAAGCGGCAGTAACCCACCAGTCGGGATCACGGTCATTTGAACACTTTATTTGTGATAAACCTCCCTAAAATGTCCACAGTTTAAAAGACTAGACATATAAGAATATATTAATAATCATAAAATAATATAGTTCATTGCAGAGACAGTGGTAGGGAACGCGTTAAACTCGGAGCGCTCTTGCGGCTGGCCGATTGAGCAGCCAGTGCAAGCGGCAATAACCTGCCAGTCTGGATCACGGCCATTTGAACACTTTATTTGTGATAAACCTCCCTAAAATGTCGATCATGTAAAAGAACAGACCCATAAGAATGAATTCATAATCATAAAATAATATATTTCCTTGCAGAGAGAGTGGTAGAGAACGTGTTATACTGGCAGCTTCATAGCGGCTGGCTGGACTAAAGTGTCAGTAACCCACCAGTCGGGATAACAGTTATTTGACCACTTTAATCGGGATAAACCTCCCTAAAACGTATATCATATAAAATGACAAACGTCTTTTTACGCTCTTTAATTTGTAATTTGAATTCGCCTCAGTTCGAGCTGCATATGAATTATATTTTCTTCTTTAATATTTGCAGCACGAAATAAACATGAATATGTGAATGCATGTTGAAAAAAATCAGAAAGCTGCCCGATCTGCGTAGTACACCTAGCACTAAATTTTCTGCAAGGGTAGGAGAAGGCCGCATCTGCTTTAACGGAATACTCCAGCCAATCTCTTTTTTGAAACCAAGAGTGTAAAAATGATCTCTTTCCTGTACCAAACAGGCACGTGGGATACGTACTTAATTTTACTTGCATAGGCCCATTCTCTCCCAAATCATCTGGGCAAGTGTCGTCATCATGACTGGAAGCAGGAGCTCCTCTGCCGGCGCTGGGCTCTGTCACAGCTGTACTTGTGCTCGTTTTCGCTGTTGGAGTGGCAGTGAACCATTTCCTTAAATCCATTATAGCTCGCTGAATTAAGCTAAACGTTAAATATTTTAGAAAAAAAAATGGCTTTGCACAGTTTGCACTTATGAGTCATCACCGCGCTCAACCGTCAACTAAATTACGTCACTGCCGTAATAGCAGCTTGTATGTAATTGGCTGATTATGACTATACCTATACGTCATGACGTTAAGTATTTTTTTAGTCAACTTCTACTCTTAATTAATTTATTATCTGTATTCATGGTATAAAAAAAAGAAATTATTTACAAAATAGCTTTTAAAAAATATTTGGTTAATTATTATGTTTAAAGAAGTAAGAGGGCACAGTGGTGCTGAGTTCTAGCTGCTGAAATCGCATTCGGGGGGCAGGGTGATGTGCTTACTAGAGGTGAGGGGGCATAGTGACCTAGGTGGCTGGTCCGGGCCCCCTGGGGCCCCCCCATGGCGCCGACGCTGTGTATAGTGCTGGGCGGTATACCGGTTCATACCGAATACCTGTTTATTTTTGTTATATGAATTTTTAAAATACAGCAATACCGGTGTATGTCGCTTAAACAAAGTTCAGAACGCGACACTGTTTGAGAGGGGTCCCTTTTCACTGTTGCACTGTCCTGAGGGAACAACTGTATGTGTTACTAAGCGTGAAAGTTCCGAAACTGAAGCTGTTGAACTAATAGAACGTGATGACAGAAGACCCTGCCATCAGCTCCCGTGTCTCACACACACGAGCGCGACTTTAGCACTAGATTTAGCAACTTTCAGACCCTTTTAGCGGCTTTTTTCCATAGAATATTCATACTGACAAACCTAGCGACTTTTTTGGATAAACCTTAGCTATGGTTCAAAGATTCGTTCATTTTGCTGAACGAGACTCAAAGGTCCGAGTCGGTAAAATGATCCGAACTTCCCATCACTAGAATAAACAGCTTGAATATTCGATTTCTACATGTGTATTAAATGCCCCTTTCTGCTGATTGGTCAGCCGAAGATCAAACCGTGCCATCATCAGTTCTTCTGCAAATAAAGAGAACAACAGAATGCGCTGCTTTAGTGTGTCTCGGTCTCCTTGAGCATCTTTCCGGCGCATGCCACAAACATGAACCACAGCGAATACTTGTCTTTTAAAAGGCTTCATTTAGATTATTTGACGTTAAATGCATCATATAAGTCACTTTGGAATAAATCATAGTAGGCCTATGTATCATGATAAAAAAACGACTTTACAGTCTGGAAATACTTTGGGCTATAGCAGTGGTCCTCACTATTTTTTTAATGGGAGCCGCACTGATAGGGCAAAGTCAATCGGAGAGCCACTTTTACCGCGAAGTATCAAAAGTTACATTCAGTCATAAATAGCATGTATTCTTATCAATCTGTCATATGCAATGCTGTAACTGAGACAAGATTATTTATATAAAAAAAAGAAGGATTACCTTAATGCTGGAAAGTAGGGCTGAACGATTAATCGCATTTTCGATAATATCGCGATATGACAAAACGCAAATTTTTTTTTTTTTACCTGCAAAGACTGCGATTACATTCTCGTCACGTGACATGCGAGAGTAAAGCAGTCTGCAGAGGAAGCATCAACTTGGCACACTACGCATATGCCTGGCCTACAGAAAAGCACACTTTATGTTTAATCTATCTAATATTGTGTTGGTCATACTATACAATAGAGATGGGAGAAAAGATTCTCAAACGATCCTGGATCGATTCTGAGCTTAGTTTTTAACCACAGATGCGCGATGGCGCTGCATGTGTTTTAGAAACTCATCCTGCTTGCTTCCAATTGCTCTCTCTCTCTCTCTCTCTCTCTCTCTCTCCCACTCTCTCACACACACACACACACACACACACACACACACCACTCGAACCATCCACACAATAATCTTTAATAAAGTTCGGAAAGGTTGAAGCGAATTACAAGGACATTCGCGCGCTTCACTGAACAGGATGCGCTGTGAGAAACGCGTGCGTTGCTGATGCTTGCAGTGTGTCGTCTCTCCCGTCGGTATTTTCCTTACAAATGCTCTACGAACACCTCCTCAGTTATGTCGTTATGTCAATTTCAAATGCTGACGCTTAATCCGTACAACTGCAGCAGTGGAGGACTATTATTCTGCAGCTGATACTGTAGAAGAACTGATGACGGCACGGTTTGATCTTCGGCTGACCAATCAGCACAAGGGGGCGTTTAATACCCGCCCACATGTAGAAATCGAATATTCAAGCTGTTTATTAATTTTTCCACCCATTAACGAAAAAAATTTAAGCTGAATTGTCGTTTTTCGTTTTTTGGGAAAAAAAAAACAAAAAAGGAGCCGTTTTCTCATTTTTCTACTTTCAATATTAAATAAAAAAAC